GAAATCTACAGAGGGGCTTCCCTGGTGGCGCAGTGGTTAAGAATACACCTGCCAATGCAGGGGACACGGGTTTGAGCCCTGGTCCGGGAAGATTCCACATGCCGCGGAGCAACTAAGCCTGTGCGTCACAACGACTGAGCCTGCGCTCTAGAGCCCGCGAGCCACAACTACTGAGCCTGCGTGCTACAACTACTGAAGCTCCTGTACCTAGAGCCTGTGCTCCACAACAAGAGAAGCCACCACAATAAGAAGCCCACGCACTGCAACGAAGAGTAGCCCCCGCTTACCACAACTAGAGAAAGCCCACGCACAGCAATGAAGACCCAACACAGCCAAAACTAAAAATAAATAAAATAAATAAATTTACATTTTAAAAAACAAGAAAGAAATCTACAGGGATTTCCCTGGTGGTCCAGTGGTAAAGAATCCACCTTACAATGCAGGAGACAAGGGTTCAATCCCTGGTCAGGGAACTAAGATCCCACATGCCATGGGGCAACTAAGCCCACATGCCACAACTACTGAACTCGCACACCTCAACCAGGGAGCCTGGTTGAGGTTCCATATATATGTGTATTTATTTTTCTCTTTCTGACTTACTTTACTCTGTATGACAGACTCTAGGTCCATCCACCTCACTACAGATAACTCAATTTCATTTCTCAATTTCATTGCATGCTGCAAACTACAGAGCCCAGGTGCTCTGGAACCTGCATGCTACAACTACAGAGCCCGGTGCCCTGGAGCCTGCGTGCCACAACTAGAGAAAGAAAATCGACCACCACAACTAGCAAGAAGCTTGCATGCCGCGAAGAAAGATCCTGCATGCTGCAACTAAGACCCAACACAGTCAAAAATAAATAAAATAAATAAATAAATAATTTGAATAAATAAATCGCTATTGGATAAAAGATAAATTAAAAAAAAAAGAAATCTACAAAGAGACAACCAAGTTGAATTCATTGAGCATGGTACCAGAAGCTGGGGATACAAAGGTGAGTACAATTAGATCATTGTACTGAAGAGGAAACAGACTCAAAGAGTCATGTGACTGACCCAAAGACATACGGCCAACAAGCAGAGCTGGAATTCAAACCTGGGTCTGACTGACTCCAAGGCCTGTACTCTTAAATACCATGCAGTAAGCCCTTCACATGACCACCTTCAAAGGACCTACAATCTAGTAAGTAGAAAGAGATTAATGAGTACTGCCATGTTGTTTTGTTCTGAGAAAAGGAGTGGGACATAGGAAAGGAAACTCATCCATCCTGGGCAGGAGAGAAGCTTCTTGGAAGATGTGTTCCTCTAGCTGAGTTGTGAAAGACCACTGTAGTAAGGCAAGGATTAAGGGAAAGGGCATTCTAGGCAAAGAGAACAACACAGAGAAAAACAAAATAGTAATATAGTCAGGGAACTGCAAATTTCATATTTCTGAATCATCAAGTCAGGAAGAGCACAGAGGAAGATAAAGCTGTTGAGGTAAACAGGAGTCAGATTAGGAGAGGGGAGAAGGCGGTGCCTGGAATGCCAAGTAAGGAGTTGCCAACTGAAGGGCTTAAAATGGGAGATGTGGTAAGACCTGTGGTTGTTGACAGCCACTCTGGTGGTGGTGAACTGGATGCCCTAGAAGGGGAGTGAGATTGGCAGCCAGGAGGCCAGACAGAAGTAAAGCAATAACAACTTTTGTGTGCTCTTTGACTAGGCGGGCTCATCCTTCTACACAAGGACATGGTGGGAAGTGGTCCCAGAAATAACAGAGCAGCACAGAGGCCAGTTCAGAAGTATGCCAAATGGGACAAATGATACTACACCCCAAATACACCACAGGTGACCTTGACTCCTCAGACTTATGACCTTTGGCTTAGCTACAATTTAAGGAAAGATCCTAAGATTATTCTATAGTTTTTCTAGACTGCAGATAGTTCAAAGTTAAGGACTATTATCTTATTCGTCTCTGTAGATCCCACACTATTCACTATACACACAGTGGCTTACACATAATAAGTGCTCTGTAAATGTTTTTTTTTTAAATCCTTTCATCCTACAATTGAGTGCTTTCTATACACCATGTTCTAGGGACTAAGGAAACAGATTAGGACCATACTCTCATGGAGCTTATTTTCTAGTCTGGGAAACAGACAATAAGCAAGTAAACAAATATATAATATTTTCAAGAAGTGATACTACTTAACACAGGGATAGAGTAATAAAGGCTCTATTTTATTATAGATAAGGTAATCAGAGAAGGCCTCTCTGATGAAATGAATATTTGAGTAAAGCCCTGAACAAGTTACCTGAAAAAGAGTATTCCAGGCAGAGGGAGTGTGCATGGCATGTTTATGAAATAGCAATAAAGCCAGGGTAGCTAGAGTAGAGTGACCATAAGGAAGAGGGTAGGAGGTGAGATTAGAGAGGTAACTGGGGATCAGGTGATGCAGGGACTTAGAGGGGAATTATTTTAAGCATAATAGAGGATGAAATTTCACTTCTTTATGGTGCGTCCCATTCTCAAGGAATACAAATGAAGTAGTATTAGTCATAAACAATCCTAGAGGTAAATCTACTGTCCAAAGGCATTGCAAAGCATTCTTCTTTTTTTTTTTTTTTTCTTTTTGTGGCTGCATTGGGTCTTCACTGCTGTGGGTGGGCTTTCTTTAGTTGCAACGAGCAGAGGCTACTCTTCTTTGCAGTGCACAGGCTTCTCATTGCTGTGGCTTCTCCTGTTGCACAGCATGGGCTCTAGGCGTGCAGGCTCATAGTTGCTGCACGCGAGCTCAGTAGTTGCGGCATGAGAGCCCTGTAGTTGCGGCACACAGGCCCTAGAGCACACGGGCTTCAGTAGTTGCAGCACGTGGGCCCTAGAGCACATGGGCTTCAGTAGTTGTGGAGCATGGGCTCAGTAGTTGTGGCACGCACGCTCTAGGGTGCACAGGCTTCAGTAGCTGTGGCGAGCATTCTTTAAATAAGCTTGGTTATTAGATTATCTATTATTTGGAAATCTATCCACCACCACCCCCTATTGCATTGCCTCCAATAAGACAATTTAGAATAGACTAGGGGAATAAAAAACGATTTCTGAATTTACAGTTCAAAAATATCTTTTGAAAGGTAATATTTCTGTTCTAGCCCAGTCAATCCATTAAAGCATGCTTTAAAAGAAAAAATGCTAAGGCTTTTCTTCCCCAGTCATGCAGGGTTCTACTTCTTATCACACATCAATGGGTCCCTCCTGACCACTGTCTCCATGAGATTAACTCTTCAAACGTCAGATTCCTCCCATCGCTCAATAGGCAGCAGAATTAAGTCAATTTGGGTTGCATGACATTCCATGATTCTGGAGCATTTGGTATAAAAGATCTGCAAGTGATTCTAGTCCAAGCAGTGTGTATAAATGCTAAGAGATTGCCCTGGAATGAGATGACGATTAATAGACATTTCTCACACAATGATGAAGGCCAAGCATGGAGCAGTCTGTGTTACTAAATCCCCTAGGAGCATGGCTTTCCCTGCAACACCTTCTAGTGTCACAAAGTGACAAAACAGCAAGATACAAAAGAAATGGCTTGGGTCAGAACAAGGGGAGAGGGAGCCTGGGAGTGGAAAGAAGAACATGGAACAGAGGGAGATATGAAGAGGCAAAGTACTTTGGAATGAGCTGAGGGAAGGATGAGAATGAGCAGAGGAACACACAGGAAGGTAGGACAGAGATTGATGCCATCCTGCACTGTTGCTTACCTGCATGTCTGTGTCCTCCTGGACTGGACCCCCAGTATCTAGGTGGTTTCCGGCTAGTGCATCCCCAGCACGGAGCCCCCAGAGCCCTGCTCACAGCCAGCACTAAACTGTTTGTGGAGGTACAAGAAGAAAAGGATTGCTCTCTTCCCCCACTTGCACCATATATTTTTCTGACTTCTATAAAAACTAGTTCTGCGAATTCTTTTTTTTCTACCCAGTTTCTTTCATTTCCCCCTCTCTGTCGTATAAGTCAGCTCAGGTGTGCACCCTCTGTTCTATAACCAGAATGTGAGGCCAGAGACAAACTGACAGGACCAAAGAGGGACCATCTATGACCAAGGTCGCCCAACAGACTTAAGAAGAGAGCATACACAGAGGTGAAATCAGAAAAGAGGCAATTGCAATATCAGAAGAGAAACAAAAAAGAAGTGAGCTGCAAGGCTGCTGAAGTGGAAAACTCAGATCTTCTTGTGCCTACAAACATTTGCCGTGACAGCCTTTTCTTGGGGCCGTTGGCATGCCTCATGGGCTAAGGGCAGTGTTAAGATGGGCTCTGTCTAGGACAGAGACAAGAAAATGTACTCACGGGAGAAAGAAGGATGAAGGAGGATTCCAGGGCCTGGGTGTGAGGAAGATAGCCGAGACAAGGAACTTAAGACCACTTGGAGCCAGCTTGGAATTGTAAAAGGGATCTGCATGTGATGGGAGCTTATAAAGGGGGAAGCCTCAAGCATGGAACAAATTGAAGGCCCCTGAAGGCAGACAGAAAGAGCGAGGTCTCACCCAAAAGAAATAGCAGAACAAAGCCACCCGATTCACCTGTGCAAGCAGTTTCCCTGTACCCACTGGACTCCAAGATTTCTCTCTAAAAGACTGGACCCTGGTGCCCGGAATTACAACACCCATAGTGCCCCACGCGCAGGCCGAGTGACTCACCCTCTTCTGATTCCCCACTAGCCAATGGGCTTCGCCAATTTCCTCTGCCCCCGGAAAAGCCGCGAGAGAAGAGGGTGCTTCCGGTCCCGTGTTCTCTTTGGCCCTCGGGGAATCCAAAGGTGCAGTGTTTACGGCCAGACCGTAAGGCAGCGGTCCTAGGTGTAAGGAAGGGGTCGTCCATGGCATGGGTACTGCTAACCGAACGTGGGCTGCTTAGGCTGACGGATAGTGCCAACCCTCTCCTTTTACGTTCCTTCCCCACCTCTTCCGGGGCTGGCCTAGGACCTGCAGCACATGCGCACTGTCCCACCGATTCCGGGCCTGGCCTCGTACCGGTAGCACGTACTCACTTCTTTACCTTCGCCGCGGCGGGCCTCGGACTTGCAGCACGTGCACACCTAGAGGAAGACCCGACAGTCAATCTGGTTGTTTCCGTTGCTGTGCTCAGGGCATTGTAGTTTGGGTAATGCTGTCCTTTGTTTCATTTTCTTTCTCTTGTTTAACATCAGGAAGCAGCAATGAAGTGTTACTAAAAGATCCCTAAAAAAAAAAAAATCCCTAAAGCTGGAGTTGAAATTTGCGCTTTGTAACAAATCAGCTGTGGGGTATTGGGCAAGTCAGTTAATCTTCCGTTAGGACCTACTGGTCTGTGAAAACTGGGTGACATTTGAGACTCAGCCTGTCTCTTCGCGCTGCTGGGAGGACTGTTTGCAAACTGTTGGTGCCCACAGCCCTCCAGGTCCCCGTAGGACAGCCAAGCTGCCTCCTAAGCGTAGTGCCCCAGAGAACCAAATGATCCAGCTGAGCACTGGTCCAGCATCGTCGAATGAAGTGAAAGAAAGGAACTGGAAATGGGACAGCATTTGGGGGGTCAGCTGGAAGGAGAAGTGGGGAAAGGGAAGTTTTGTTGGGTTTTCCCCTCTACCAGCAATTCCTGATAATTCTCTACCTGAATATCATCCCATCTGACCCCTTTTCTCCATCCCTACTGTCATTCACAGATCAAGATCATCTCTTGCTTAAATGATTTCTCCATCTCCAGTTCCCACCCCACCACTTGTGGGATTATTCTAAAGTGCAAATGTGATCATTAAAATGTGTCATGACTTCCCTGTGCCCCTAAAATAAGGTACCAACACCTTAACAAGGGTTTCATTGCCTGGCCTCTTCCTGCTCCTCCAGCCTTCTCTCACTCTGTGTTCCAATCACTTTCAAATACTACGTTCTTTTTTTTTTTTTTTAATCTTTAAAATGTTTTTCTTTTATTGTGATGAAATACACATAACATAAAATTTACGATTTTAAACATTTTTAAGTGTACACTTCAGTGGCATTAATTACATGCACATTGTTGTGCAACCGTCACCACGGTCTGTCTCCAGAACTTTTTCATCTTTCCAAACTGAAACTCTGAACTCTTTGAACAATAACTCCCCATCCCTCCATTGCTTCCAGCCCCTGGCAACCACCAATCTACTTTCTGTCTCTATTAACTTGACTACTCTAGGTACCTCGTGTAAGTGGAATCACACAGTAGTTGTCCTTTTGTGACTGGCTTATTTCAGTTAGCGTAATATCCTCAAGGTTGTACTTTAACACAAGAGGCTGCTTCTTACCTCAAGGCCTTTTTGCCTGTGGAAACAATGTAATAAGCATTCTGAACTCTGCTGAACACAGTCCTGGCTTGCTTTTAAGTGATGCCATCCGCCATACTCTGTCAGTTCTCCCTTTTCGGCTCTGAAAGATTCTGTAGCTTTCTGTTAGCTTAGTTATTAGAAATCCAGCCTAATGTAGTTAGTCCACTTTAAAACTTCAGTCTCATATCAAGTTTACATTCCTTCCTTCCCCTCAGCACCAGACAGTCTTCAGCGTGGGACTCAGTTTGGGGAACTGGTGCATTCTGTCCTTTAATAGAACTCTTTTTTGCTAATTTAAGCTACTTGTTGTGTTGGGACCTGGAAGAGGGTCTGGGACGAAGGGCAAAACATCCTTTTACCTAACTGGGCATGTCATGGCAATCATCAGTTGGTGGTTTGCCTCTCAGGCTAAAGCTGACTGATGGTGGATACCTTCCATTTGGAAGGTGCCCAAATACTAACTCTTACGGGCACATGGATTAGTTTCCTGGGAGCTCTCTCCATCGCACAGTCCCCTGATGGGACATCTGCTCCAGCCTAACTGCTTCCCACGAGGCCTCAGGTCCTGCCTTTGGCTGTATAACTAAGCTCCCCAGGCTACTGGTTTTCTTGGGAGGAGGACCAGCAAGATGGCTCCAGCTGTGTTGATTTTCACACTGTTCCTTTGACTTACAGGAAACTCACATGTCCCTGCTAAACCACATTGCAGGAGTGACAACCCTTTTTGCCCGTCAACCCTCACTCCTTATTCCAACGATCACAGAGAATAGATCAGCAAGCTCAACAGCAGATATCCAGCCACCGACTGAGATGCAGTCTCTCCTTGCCAACCCATCAATTTCTATGAGTGGTTCCCTCGGAGACCCCTCGCTCGGGGGAGGTGAGGACAAAACGCACAGCACTCAATCCCTTGGCTGGTGACAGACACATGATTCCATCAATCCCTTTTCCCTTTCCACCTCCACACCATCTTCTGTTTATTTCCTGGGGAGGTAGAGGATGGGGTACTGGGCTATGGTTTGGGATAGCAGAACTGACTTGCCACCTCTTCATGGTACCTCTTGGTTTGGCAGAATAGCTGACAATTCCAGGGTACCGAATGAGTCCTACTTAACGTCCTGCAACAAAAACGCCATCTCGGGCTTCCCTGGTGGCGCAGTGGTTGAGAGTCCGCCTGCCGATGCAGGGGACACGGGTTCGTGCCCCGGTCCGGGAAGATCTCACATGCCGCGGAGCGGCTGGGCCCGTGAGCCATGGCCGCTGAGCCTGCGCGTCCAGAGCCTGTGCTCCGCAACGGGAGAGGCCACAACAGTGAGAGGCCTGCGTACCGCAAAAAAAAAAACACCATCTCCCTTGCTGAGAACACTTGTCAAACACCTCACACCTTCTCTTTTCTTCCCTTTGTCTGTGACTAGTTCCTTCTCATGTTTTATATAACAACGTAGATAGCATCGCTGCCGGGAAGAAATCTTAACACTGCCAAGCCTTAGGCAGGACACTGATCTATCACTTCCAAAGGTCCCCTTGCCTCCCTTATAACAGTATGTTATGTTCTAAATGACTCTTGATAGTATATCTTCCCCATGAGACCAAGCCCCACAGGGGCTGGGACAGTGTCAGTTTTGCTCATCTTTGTCTCATAATGCCTCACACACAGATAGCACTAGATACATGAATGAAGGATTCCTAGGCTTTGGCGAAGAGTCTGTGTGATTTGAAAGAGGCTAGGGTCCTGCTGACATGCCATTGTCCCTGCTACCTCTACGTGCCTGAGAACTGTTGTGCTCTACTCCTACTTTACATATCAGGTTATGTTGTTAGAACATCTCTGAAACATCTGAAGTGCTGTATTAGAAGCTGCACTTTTATAAATAAGTTTTATTCGATCAACCTGCCCTGTAAGCATTTGCAAAGTTGCAAGAGAGGAAATTGTGAGACAGCCAAGGATGGGGGATTACCCTAAACTTCGGATCCGTTCCTCACAAGCCCAGAATCCCTTTCCCAGTTGTTTAGAAGTTTGACTTCACCCAGTAGGAGCTCCCTTCCCACTATTTCTCTGTGATGGAATGGAAAGGATTGCTTCTCCTATGACTGCACTGCAGCCTCTGGCTGCAACATTCCTTCATTCATTTGTTCAACAAAATATTTTTAACTGACCTAGAAGGGCAGAGGGAGCTTTAATGTATGTCTAACCAGGGCCATTCAGGCTACTGGCAACAGGATGAAGGATGAACAGCTTTCCAAAATAAGCATATTCCTGTGCTCGGACACTAGGTAGAGTTCTCAGGAGCTGGAGCCACTCCTTCCTTCTCCCCTTTTCCTTCCTGTCCACCCCCCCACAATGGAGCAGAAAGGAAGAGCTGTGCCACAGGCCTGTGGAAAAATGCCCCTTGGCTCTCAGAGCCCTGGCATGAAATAAGATATCGTTCTTAGGAAGCAGTCCCAGACAAAAGATCCTCCTAATGTCTCCTGCCCTGAATTGTCTGCTCTCTGTTTTAAAATGGGGGCAGCATTTTGTCTGAAGAGCCAAATTCCTGGATTAGCTGAAACATGAATTTATCCAGAATATCACATTTACCCTTTTATCCAACAAATATTTGTGGAGCAGCATTTATATGCTAGTTGCTGGGGACACTAGAGTGAAGACACAATTCCTGCTCTCAAGGTACAATCTAGTGAGGGAAAAAAACAATTTCAGCACCAGGAACCATGACAGAGCTTTGCATCTATGGCCTGGAGATGGTGGAGCTTAGGGAAAGCTTCCCAGGGGAAATAACACTGGCTTAGCCTTAAAGTAGAAATTGACCAAGCAGGAAGGGAGAGGGGAGAGATGCAGGATTGTGGGCAGAAAAATCACGAAGTACAGAGGCCAGGAAATAACAGAAGCAAACCCTTGCTGAGCACTGTCGGATGCCACTCTAAGAGCTCGACAAGTGTTACATCATTTGATTCTCAGAACAACTGTTTGAAATACATAGTATGCCTATTTGATAGATGAAGAGGTTAAGGTATAAGGTATAGATAAGGCAGGGAGAGGTGAAGTAAATGTATTGAACAAGATCACAGTTTACATTTTCTTTTAAACAATTACTTATTTTTCCTTTTTTTTCTTTTTTTTTTTTTTTTTTGCGGTGCGCGGGCCTCTCACTGTTGTGGCCTCTCCTGTTGCGGAGCACAGGCTCCAGACGCGCAGGCTCAGCGGCCATGGCTCACAGGCCCAGCCGCTCCACGGCATGTGGGATCTTCCCGGACCGGGGCACGAACCCGTGTCCCCCGCATCAGCAGGCGGACTCTCAACCACTGCGCCACCAGGGAAGCCCTATTTTTTGTTTTATCCTTTCTTTTTTTTTAAGGTTGTGCTGGTTCTTAGTTGCAGCTCATGGGCTCCTTAGTTGCGACTCGCAGGCTCTTTAGTTGTGGTATGCAAACTCTTAGTTGTGGCATGCATGTGGGATCCAGTACCCTGACCAGGGATCAAACCCGGGCCCCCTCTATTAGGAGCTCAGAGTCTTAACCACTGCACCACCAGGTAAGTCCCAATCACAGTTTACTTAATAAGTGATGAAGCCAAGACTCAAACCAGGAAGTTTGAGTCCAGAACTGCTGTCCTCCACTACTTTGCTACCTGCTACTTCGATTTGATGAAAGTTGTCTTTCATAAAGGAGTATAATGTGCATGGGAAAGCATGAAAGGAAAAGAAACTAGGCAAGTAGGCATGGAAGGACAAAGTGAATGAAGAGTTTATATACCACATGGTGACATTTGGACTTTAAGATAACAGGGATCCAAATGATGGATTTTCAGGAGTAAAATGGTCTGAGTTATTTATATATATTACTCTGTTAACATGAAGTAGGATAGATTATAAAGGCGTAGGACTACTAGAAGTAAGAAGAACATTGTAAATCAACTATACTTCAATTTAAAAAAAAAGAAGAAGTAAGAAGACCAATTGTTAAACTATTGCAGTGATCCAGGCAAGAACGAATAAGTACCAGGAAATAAAAGTTTGAACTAAGGTAGAAGCAATGATTATAAAGAGGAGGGGATGTGATTCAGAAGTGGGATTGACAGTATTGAAACTAAGTGCAGGGACTCAGGAAGAAAGAGTGTTTTCTCATGACTCCCAGGTTTCTTATTTCAGAGACTGAGTATAGAGGAGAAGCAGGCTTGAAAGGAAAGATAATTAGAAAGAATTTGGATGTGAGGGTTTGAGATGCTCATAGTAACGTTGAATAGTCAACTAGGCAAGACAATGGGCCATTACATTTAGGAGTGTGGGGTAAGGAATGAGATCTGGGCAAAGATACAGATTGGAGAGCCATTGGCAACAGGTTGTCACTGAAACCATGAGAATGGACGAAATCACTCAGAGAGGATTTCAGAAGATAAAGAGACTAAGAGACTGAGGGTGGACTCTAGGGAAACACCAAGCATATAAAAAGGCAATGGGATGCAAGGGGACTAAGGAGAAGCCGAGGTAGGAGGGAAATTGTGCAGGTGTCTACCAAAACTAAGGGAAGCAAAGGGTTTCAAGAAAGAGGAATTGGTCAGTTCTGAAATGTCAGGACAGAATTTGAAAAGTGTTCATACATTTGGGATGAAGAGGTTGTTGTTGGCTCTGGGGAAAAATGATTCATCGGTAGAGATGAATACCAGATCAAAGTGGGGTTAGAAGCAAGTGCAGGATGAAGGAGGTGGAAAGGGCCTTTCTCAAGAAACTTGACTTTGATGGAAAGGAGAGACAACACACATTGAGGAAGGGATTTTTCCTGTCTCCCTTTCTTTCTCTCCTTCTTTCTTTCTTCTTTTCTTTCTTTCTTCTTTCCTTCCTTCCTTCCTTCCTTCCTTCCTTCCTTCCTTCCTCCCTTCCTTCCTTCCTTCCTTTTAAAGATAAGAGAGATGGGGCTTCCCTGATGGCGCAGTGGTTAAGAATCCACCTGCCAATGCAGGGGACACAGGTTCGAGCCCTGGTCCAGGAAGATCCCACATGCTGCAGAGCAACTAAGCCCGTGCGCCACAACTACTGAGCCTGCGCTCTAGAGCCCACGAGCCACAAGTACTGAAGCCCACATGCCCGTGCTCTGCAACAAGAGAAGCCACCACAATGAGAAGCCTGCGCACTGCAATGAAGAGTAGCTGCCGCTTGCCGCAACTAGAGAAAGCCTGTGCACAGCAATGAAGACCCAACGCGGCCAAAAAGAAAAAAATATATAAATAAACTAAAAAAAAAATAAAGATTAAGAGAGACTTAGCTTGGAGTATTAGTTTCCTATTGTGGCTGTAACAAATTACTAAAAACTTCATGCCTTAAAAGTACATAAATTTATTATCTTAAGTTCTGGAAATCAGAGGTCTTAAAATGGGTGGGCAAGGCTGCATTACTTTTGAAGGATCTAGGAAAGAATCTGTTTATTTGCCTTTTCTAGCTTCTAGAGGCTGCCTGTATTCTTTGGTTTGTGGCCCCCTTCCTCCATATTCAAAGCCAGCAATAGAGCATCTTCCAATCTCTGTCTCTCTATCTCTCTCTCTCCCTATCTCTCTCTCTGTCTCTCTGCTTCTGTTGTCACATTGCTTTCTGTCTGACTTCTAAAAGGATGCTTGTGACTACATCTGGCCCGCCCAGATAATCCAGGATAATTTCCCCATTTCAAAATCCTTAACTTAATCATATCTTCAAAGTCCCTTTTACCATGTATGATAACATATCCATATATTCCTGAGGATTAGGATGGGATATCTCTGGGGAGACATTACACAGCCCATCACTTGTAGTATCTGCCTGGCACATAGTAAGTGCTCAAAATATTATTACTGATGATAATACTTAAATTTATATGCTGAAGAGAAAGAACCATCAGAAAGACATTACAAACATAGCAGAGAGAGAGAGAGAGAGAGAGAGAGAGAGACCTTGAGAGAGAGAAAGCAAGAACGCTTAGGCCAAAAGGGATGTGTCCAGAACACAGCTGGAGGGAGGAACATTGTGGGTCCCGGACATTAAGTGAGATAATATATACATACCTGGCAAAATGTTTAATATATCATTCAGTACATATTTGTTTTCCTCCTCTATTCCTTCAAGTGTGCCTACACTGGTGAAGGCCCATGGTATTATCATTATTTCAGCCTGACAACCCCACCACATGCGATCACGTAAGCTCCCCCAAATTTCACCTCTGATTTATCGTTGTTTCTTCCATACATTCTGGCTTAGTGTCTTTTGCAAAATAGATGCTCAAATGTTTGGGGATGAACAAATAAATGAATTAATGAAAGAACAAATGAACAAACTTCAAAGGCTGGGAGAATATTGATTTAGGGTGATCAGAATGTAGCAGCTTCCAACAGTGAAGACTTCTGCACAAAGGCCTGAAAGGAGTGGGCTTAAAGAACAGAAAGGGAGGGCTTCCCTGGTGGCGCAGTGGTTTAGAGTCCACCTGCCGATGCGGGGGACACGGGTTCATGCCCCGGTCCGGGAAGATCCCACATGCCGCGGAGCAGCTGGGCCCGTGAGCCATGGCCGCTGAGCCTGCGCGTCCGGAGCCTGTGCTCCTCAATGGCCGCTGAGCCTGCGCGTCCGGACGGGAGAGGCCACAACAGTGAGAGGCCCGCATACTGCAAAAAAACAAACAAAAGAACAGAAAGGGAGGTTTTGCAGGTGGAAAGGATTCTTCAGAGGTGGAAAAGGGGAAGATGGGAGTGCAAGATGGTATGTGGGGGTCAAGTTTTCCCCCTTGAGTTTAAACACTGGCTGAGCTGATTGAGCAGGTAATCAGTAGAGGGTATTACAAGACCCAAGAATGAGTTTGTACTGATACAAGATAAACTAAGAATTGCTCTAGGATTCTGAAAGATTTAATAACAGCATTACAATAGGAAGAGCCTTGGAATAAAAAAAGCACTAGGTTGGACTTTTTTTTTTTTTTTAAGTTAAATGCCTGGTTCTAGAACTAATTTCTGCATGACCTTGGGCAAATTACACAATCTCTTTGAGCCTCAGTTGCCTGAAAGGATTAAGCCAGCTGATGCAGTTTAAAAAGCCCAGAAACTGGTGTAAAGAAAGAAATAGTACAATAAATTATTGCTATTACTGTCTCTCAGAGTTATGTTTTAAATAAAATAACATGTCAAAGCACCAAGGATAGTGTCTTAACAGAGGCTCAGTGAAGTTTAATTTCCTCTCTTCCATATTGGAAATTTAAACTAAATGCTCTGCATAAAAATTTTAAACTAAATGCTCTCTGTAAAGAGGGAATGAGAGGCTCTGGAAGCAGGGAAGCTCTTGAGATTCTGTTACCATCATCTAGATGAGAAGACTCATATAGTAGTCAGGGGTCTCCAGAGAAACAGAACTAACAGGACTCTGTGTGTGTGTGTGTGTGTGTGTGTGTGTGTGTGTTATAGGAATTGGCTCACTTGATGACGGAGGCCCCGAAGTCTCATGATTTGCCACCTGCAAGCTGTCAGTCCAGGGAAGCTGGTGGTTTAATCCAGTCCAAGTCCAAAAGCCTGACAACCAGGAGCACTAATGTCTACGAGCAGGAGAAGATTGATGTCCCAACTTAAACAGAGAATAAATTCTCTCTTCCTCTACGTCTTTGTTCTATTCAGACCCTCGGTGGATTGGATAAGCCGACCCGCGTTGGTGAAAGCAATCTTCTTTATTTAGTCTACCAATTTAAATGCTAATCTCTTCTGGAAACGCCCTCACAGACTTATGCAGAAAATTGTTTTACCCATATCTAGTTATCCCTTAGCCTAGTCAAGTTGACATGTAAAATTCACCATCACAACTCAGGACCTCCAGAGTACATGGAGGACCCATGTGTTAGGATCTAAGTGGTCAATGCATCACACCTCTTTTTTCCCCACCTGTGTACATAACAGGTCTCTTTTCTCCACCCAAGTTCTGAACCAGTGGAGATAGATAAATGAGGCAGACGGCAACACTCACCTTTATAACTGATAAAGACCATACTGGAAGGTATGGCTTAGGTGTGCAGCCACCATGGGCTTCCTAACAGGATGGTGGGGGGTATTTTTGGCCATGCCACACAGTTTGTGGGATCTCAGTTCCCTGACCAGGGGTTGAACCTGGGCCAAGACACTGAAAGAGTGGAGTCCTAACCACTAGAACTACCAGGGATCTCCCTTTTTTTTTTTTTTTTTTTTTCCTAACAGGAATTTCAGAATTAGACTGACTCACTACCCCATCATAATTATCAGTGGCAAACCATAGGCCTTTCACTTGTGGGAGGTATACCTCTGTAAAACATAGAAAGGAGCAGATCCAAGTGGGTGCTCTCTGCACCTGGGGGAGAGGGAGTGAAAGCTGAGTGAAGAGAGGCCAGGAGTGTTAGTAATAGGGCTTCTGTCCTAAGAAAGAAAACATCAGGAATGTGGAGAAAGTGGTCCCCCAATTCCATCTTCTTTTTTTTTTTGTAATATTTATTTGGCTGCATCAGGTCTTAGTTGTGGCATGCAGGATCTTCGTTGCCATGGGCGTGATCTTGGTTGCCATGCGTGGAATTTTTAGTTGTGGCATGTGGGATCTAGTTCCTTGACCAGGAATGAAACCCGGGCCCGCCGCATTGGGACTGGGAAGTCTTAGCCATCGGACCACCAGGGAAGTCCCAATACCATGTTCTACTTTGTTTTTTTTCCTTAGGCTTCCAGACATCACCATCCAGGTCATCAGATGGTGGCCCAGCCAGTGGTAAACTCTTCCTCAACACTGTGGTGGGTGACACAGTGGAGTTTCCCCTGGAGATACTGGAGGGACCTCAAACTGCCTGGCCCTTTGTGACTTGTTTCTGGGCCCTGCCTCTCAAGGAACAAATGAAGGACAATTCAATCTGATATCTTTGGCAGTTGGTTCAGAAAATGATGAGTTGCTTGGCTATTTTCTGCAAGTCAGCAACATAACTGGGGAGCATAAAGGAAACCGCTAGGTCCAGAGTTTCATCAATAAAGTGAGTTAGGGCTTCCCTGGTGGCGCAGTGGTTGAGAGTCTGCCTGCCGATGCAGGGGACACGGGTTCATGCCCCGGTCCGGGAAGATCCCACATGCCGCGGAGCGGCTGAGCCCGTGAGCCATGGCTGCTGAGCCTGCACGTCCGGAGCCTGTGCTCCGCAACGGGAGAGGCCACAGCAATGAGAGGCCCGCGTACCGCAAAAAAAAATAAAATAAAATAAAGTGAGTTAGTGTTACCAATCAAACCACAGCCCCAGGTGAAGCATCAGACTAGAGAAGGATAAAAGAGTAGAAAAGATAAGAGATTGAGAAGTCCAGTCTGATTCAGGAGATAAGACCAATGTGCCTGAAACAAGGAATTATAAAAGACACAAAAAGAATCCTAATGGTTATGGGATTTCTTTTGAGAGGGAAGAAAATATTCTCAGATTATATTGTGATGTTGTTTGAAGAACCCTGTGAATTTACAAAAAACAAACAAAAAACACACTGAACTGTACGGGGTGTTTTTTTTTGGCCACGTCACACAACTTGTGGGATCTCTGTTCCCTGACCAGGGATTCAACCCAGGCCATGGCAGTGAAAGCCCAGAATCCTAACCACTAGGCCACCAGGGAACTCCCCTGAACTATATACTTTAAATGGGTAAATTGTACAGCATGTGAATTATACCTCAATAAAAGATGTTTAATTTTTTTTTTTAAAAAAGACACAGTTGTAGTGGACTAGGAGAGGAGAAACCAGAATCCCAGTCCTTTACTTATTGTGCCAATAACTATGCGACCTTGGTCACTTTCCTTCTTCAAGCCTCAGCTTCCTCACCTGTTAGACGAAGGAGTTGGACTAGATGACCTGTGAGGTTCCTGTATTAGTTTCCTGGAGCTGTTGTATCAAATTACCACAAACTGAAAACAACAGAAAGGGGACTTCCCTGGTGGGGCAGTGGTTAAGAATCTGCCTGCCAGTGCAGGGGACACGGGTTCGAGCCCTGGTCCAAGAAGATCCCACATGCTGCGGAGCAAATAAGCCTGTGCACCACAACTACTGAGCCTGTGCTCTAGAGCCCATGAGCCACAACTACTGAGCCCACAAGCCACAACTACTGAAGCCCACGTGCCTAGAGCTGGTACTCTACAGCAAGAGAAGCCTCTGCAATGAGAAGCCTGTGTACCCCAACGAAGAGTAGCCCCCGCTCGCCGCAACTAGAGAAAGACCGCCTGCAGCAAGGAAGACCCAATGGAGCCAATAAATAAATAAATAATTTTTTAAAAATAAATTAAAAAAAATAAAACAACAGAAAGTTATTCTCTCACAGTTCTGGAAGCCATAAGGCTGAAATCAAGGTATTGTCAATACCACACTCCCTCCAGAGGCTCTAGGGGAGAATCCATTCCTTGTCTTTTCCAGGTTTGCTCCTAGGCTTATGGCTTCATCTCTCTCTGCTCTGTCTTTCCACTTGGATAATCTAAGATCAACTCCTCCTCTCAAGATCCTTAATTAAATCACATCTTTTGCCATATAAGGTAGCATCCACATGTTCCAGGGAATTGACATAGATATCTTGGGGGGAGGGGAGTAATTCATATACAGATCTTTGCAAGTCTATAGAAAAGTTGAGAGAACCAACTTGAGAAAATTTGAACTGCCTTATAGTCTCTAGACACACCCCCTTCTTCACTTCACTTCCATCCTAGTTCACATTTAAAATAACTTCCAATTGTATGGAATTTTATGGTTTGAAAAGTTATTATGCATTTATCAGCTCGTTGCAGTCACATAAAAACCTGTAAATTTGTTATTATCACTATAATTACATTTCTAATGAGAAAATGGAGGCTGAGAGAGATTAAGTGACCTAACCAAGCTCACACATGCTGGAAAGTACCAGTGCTAGACTCTAGTCTTAGTCCTTGCCCTCCAAATCCTTTGGTACCCATTCTGCCATCACCTGACTGAATCTTGGTATAGCATCAGGAGTTTCCAAACCAGGATGGGGTAGAGGCACCTGGAGTAAATTCAGTTCTCCCTATTCCTCCTACTAAGCACAGCTGAAAACCCTGGACAGTTTATATAAAACCAACATAAGAAGATCTGAAAGGTGGGAAGAAAAAGGCAGACTGACTAGGGTTCTTGGAACCCAAAGCTCGACATAACAGTGAGTTCCCTGGGTTTTCATTTTGCCTCATATATATCATGGACTGGGTGCTAGAGAAGCAACTCAGAAATGCCAATGGGCACAGACAAAATGAAGTCCCAAGAAAAGCCTGCTTGCTTTCTCTAGCCAAAGGACTAGGGAAAAGGCAATCCAGCAAGACCGAGAACCTTTGGACGATAACTGCCTGACTCCAGCCAAACACCATGGAAAAAAATCATGGTCCTACCTCCAACCCTACAGGGAGGTGGAGACCCTAGACTTCCACCTTTGTCCAGCTATAATGAGGTTACATT